AGAGGATGCTCGGTCTCATGGCCTCAGCATCAGCTGTACTCCAGCTAGGATTGTTGCACATGCGTCCTCTCAAACGCTGGCTCAAAAGCCGTGTCCCCACTCACGCGTGGCGCTCAGGCCACTTTTTAATCAGGGCAAATCACGGCTGCATAAAAGCCCTGACGCCCTGGAAAGCTGTCGACTGGTATCAGTCCGGTGTGAGTTTGGGCGTGAACACAAGGAGAAAAATGATCACGACAGATGCCTCCAAAATAGGCTGGGGGGCCCTTTACGAGGGCAGGCCTGTCTCCGGCTTGTGGTCAAAAGAAGCGCCTACATATAAACTGTCTGGAATTGAAAGCGGTCGCTTTGGCTCTCAGAGCCCTGCTCCCGTACCTGAAGGACGAGCACGTTCTAGTCCGAACGGACAACATGACGGTAGTCTCGCATATAAATCGTCAGGGTGGACTCAGATCGAGCTCCCTGCACTCGATGGCCAGGGAGCTCCTCCTATGGTCCCAGCGCAACCTGCGCTCGCTGAGAGCAGCGCATGTGCCAGGCGTTCTGAACCAGGGAGCGGACATGCTGTCCAGAGACAAAGTTCTCCCAGGAGAATGGTCTCTCCACCCCCTGACGATTCAGTGGTTATGGCAAACCTTTGGCAGAGCAGAGGTCGACCTCTTTGCCTCCAAGGAAAATGCGCACTGCCCTCTCTTCTTTTCAAAGAGCACAGACGCGCTCGCCCAAGTCTGGCCGAGCCGCCCGCTGTATGCCTTCCCTCCGGTCGCGATGCTACCTCAGGTCATCAGTCGGATCAGGGAGGAGAAATGTGCAGTGCTCCTGGTAGCCCCACTCTGGAAGAACCAGACGTGGTTTCCAGAACTGATGCAGATGATGCAATCTGCCCCATGGCCGATTCCACTGAGGCTAGATCTCCTCAGGCAGGCCAACGGGATGATCCTCCATCCCCGCCCCGATCTGTGGGCCCTCCATGCGTGGCCCCTCAACGGATTCCCGGGAACCTCCCCAGTCGAGTGTTGAGAACCATCACTGAGGCGCGAGCGCCCTCTACGAGGCGCTTATATGCCCAGAAATGGAAGGTGTTCAGTGACTGGTGTAAATCCAGGAACCTGAATCCTGAGACATGCGAAGTACCGAGTGTGCTCGTTTTCTTACAAGAGCTGTTGGAGGCAGGCCGCACCCCCTCCACGCTCAAAGTATATGTGGCTGCCATAGCGGCATCACATGAACCGGTCGAAGGACGCACACTAGGAAAATACTACCTAGTTGTTCGTTTCCTGAGGGGCGCCAGGAGGATAAATCCCCCACGCCCCCCCTCGGTGCCGATTTGGGACCTGGCCACGGTCCTGGACGCACTTAAGCGTGCCCCGTTCGAACCCCTCCGAACTGTGCACCTTAAACAGCTCTCGCTCAAAACTGCTCTCTTGCTGGCTCTCGCCTCGGTCAAGAGAGTGGGCGACCTGCACGCGCTGTCATCAAGCGCTACCTGCCTGGAGTTTGGACCTAACGACAGCAGGGTTGTCCTCAGGCCAAAACACGGGTATATTCCTAAGGTGCTCTCTACTCCTTTCAGAGCACAGGTGATATCTTTGGCCGCGCTATCGTCCCCAGCAGACGAAAGTGACGCTAATTTACTCTGCCCGGTCAGGGCACTCAGAGTATATTTGGAACGTTCTGCCCTGTTCAGACAGACAGAGCAGTTGTTCGTATGCTTTGGCGGCCGCACTAAAGGTCTGGCTGTGTCAAAGCAAAGAATATCGCGCTGGATAGTTGATGCTATAGCGCTGGCTTATGAAGCCAAGGGCCTTCAGTGCCCCTTGGGCATCAGAGCTCACTCTACAAGAGGCATGGCCTCCTCGTGGGCGTGGTCGAGTGGGATACCCATTCAAGATATTTGTGCGGCTGCAGGCTGGGCCTCACCGTCCACATTTATCAGGTTTTATAACCTACAGGTCCCCTCATTGCACTCTAACATACTGTCGGTCTAACTATGCATAGGCTGGGGTGTGTACATGCTGAGCATTGTCTCCTCCCTCATAGAATCACATCTTTGAAACTGATGTGGAGGATTTTTCATACATGACAGTACATAAAAATGTGCTTGTGTGTGTCTCTGGACGCCCATCGGGCCGTTCCACGTTGTCCTTTTATAAAGCCCGCCTTCGGCTGGCTCGTTGGATAATTACTTCGCTCAAAGGCTCAGGCACCGGCCTCTGGCTTAATAGAAGCGAAGTCAGCACGCACGGCGTTTTACATGGCGTTCCCATAGCGTAAGCTTACGCAATAGGAGGAACCTCTCGAAAGGGAACGACTCGGTTACTAACGTAACCTCGGTTCCCTGAGAGGAGGGAACGAGTATTGCGTAATCTGCCGTGCTTGTGCTTGGTCAGTTTGCTTCAGTCGATTGAACCTAAAGAACTCAGACGACGGGGCGCCCAATATATAGCCCTTGGCCACGCCCATCTTGGCGGGCTCTGACGCGCGTGGGCGCGAAGCATGCTCATTGGAAGCGGGTTCAGAGTCGCCCCATCATTGGTTCGTGCAAGTTGCCGCAGCACAGCCAATGACCGAGCTGCCTCGCTCATTGCTGTATGCTGTGCAGCTGCAATGCGTTTTACATAAAGACTTCAATATTTCTCGAGAAAAGGAGTTTTCCCATAGCGTAAGCTTACGCAATACTCGTTCCCTCCTCTCAGGGAACCGAGGTTACGTTAGTAACCGAGTCGATTTCCATTTTAAAAACCTGAATTTCGATGAACATTTTTCAATGCTCACAAATTCAGATACAAAAAAAATCAACTTACAGAATTTCAGATAAAATAGATTCAGGTTGATCAAATTCGACTGCTCAAATTCAGATCTCAAATTCGACTGCTCAAATTCAGATCGAAAAATTCAAGTTAAATATTCACATGGTAACATCCGGGCTACCCAGGATAGGAAAAACAGCTGAGCCTGTGTAGAGACGGAGCGTATTTAGGCCACGCCCACACCGGGGGGAAACAATCCGAGAGACTGCCTCCTTGTCATTTATGACTTATAACAAAAAACAAAACAATGTCTAAAAGCTGTTGTGAGACAAGGTGTACAGCAAACAAGCTAAATAACCCAGAAATTATTTTTTATAAGCTGTCGACCCAAAAACGGTTTGTTTCAGGACATAAAAGTGGATCAATTGAGAAAGAGCGCAACTATTTCTCGAACTACTCTGAGAACTAACGTTACGCCCACTGGAACGCGACATGATATTGTAAAAAAAAAAAAAAACACAAAAAACATTCATAATTTTAACCATGTCGATTGCTTATTTCACCATGCACCCTATGTGAACCTGAGAAGAGGAGATATATTCAATTTACCCATTCTTAGTTCCGGCTGATGCTTCACGTCTTATTGCCTCAGTAGCCTACTACTTTGGCTGGCTTTTCCGGTTCGGAAGCTTATAAAAATGTATTTCTGGTTGTTGTTGTTTTTTTTTAGCTTGTTTGCTGTACACCTTGTCACACAGCAGCTTTTAGGCATTTTTCTGTCTTTTGTTATATAAGGAGGCAGCCTCTCGCAATGCAAAGTCAATGGAGACGGTTGGATTGTTTCCCCCCGCTGTGGGCGTGGCCTAAATACGCTCCGTCTCTACACAAGCTCAGCTGTTTTTCCTATCCTGGGTAGCCCGGATGTTACCATGTGAATATTTAACTTGAATTTTTCGATCTGAATTTGAGCAGTCGAATTTGAGATCTGAATTTGAGCAGTCGAATTTGATCAACCTGAATCTATTTTATCTGAAATTCTGTAAGTTGATTTTTTTTTTGTATCTGAATTTGTTAGCACAAACATATTAATCGAAATTCAGGTTTTTAAAATGGAAATCAAGAATTTTCGTAGGCCTACTTAAATTTCAGCGGTAAATTCGAAACAAATACATTCAGATACATGGTTTCCAAAGTAAAATAATTTCAAAGGGGTGAATTCAGAGCAAATAAATTCAGATAAATGTTTTTCAAAATAAAATATTTCAAAACTAAGTATTCAGTGGCTGTTAAATTTCAAATAGTTATGTCTCTTATTTGCTTCCATAGCCCCGTACATGACATGCTCGGAAAAAAGTTATAGTTCCAACGACTTATTAAAACGTATACATTAGGTAGTGAGAATGTTATGGTTTACAGTGTGACATAACTTTATTGAAAATAGAGTTTACAATAAGTTTCAAAAAACCAAATCAGATTCAACTCACTACTTCGTTGATTCTTTCTTTCTAGGTTGGAATGCATTGTGTAAATTCATCCTTTGATTTGTCCTTTCTTCATCATGCTATAAGAATAATAGAAAAAATCGTTGTATACAATGTCAGTCTAATTGCCTATGATGTTTCAGCAAAATACTTAAAAGTACATTTTCTCTCCCTTGTCTGTGGGGTTTCAGGATGCTTTAAAAAAAACTTCCCTGCAGTGTCTACGTCATATTCTTTTACCTGCTATCATTGTGTGTGTTGAAGGGACAATGTGGGCTGAGTAGAATCCAAGGAAATGCTGCTTTCGCTTTGTTCAGGTCAGGAAATCAGCTGTTGCATGCTCATTGAATAATACAGATACACAGACATATGGACTCGCACACACTCTTGATACACTCCCTGAATGCCTGACAGAGACGCCTGTCTGAGGCGGAAGGAGTATAATAGACTGAAAGAGACAGTAACACAACATATACACACGCACAGGGGAAACGCAGTTGTGATGTCTTCCGCATCAAGACGTCTCCTTTGCGAACACACCTAAACACACCCTTTCAGCAATGGAGTCAAGATGTCTGCCTCTCTCAGGGTCCATTATCAGACACATCTGCAAAACGAACATGCTTTCAATCAGTCAGCCAGACCAAAAGAAGAGCAGAAAAAAGTTTTTTGCAAGTAAAATCCGCACATCAACTGCATGTACAGACATCCTGGAGATTGAACTTTTAACCTTTGTGTTGGCAGCCCAAATCACAAACACAACTAGCTGCAGAACATCTGATATCTCCATGTATTTATGTGTCATCCTGTCCCTGGGCCATACTAATCTTCTCTGTGCAGATTAAATATTGGTACATGTGATGCAAAAGCAAGCACAATGCTTCTAAGACATTTTTAGAAATGTCATCCAGCACAAAAATATCTATGTATTTCAGTTCTGTGGCTATTACTCAACTGATACTTGAAAAAATAGCGCAGTTAACTGGCAATGTGTGAGAAAAGCCTTAAGAAAAAATAATAAAGAAATATTATACATGAGATCTTTTTAATATCTCAAAAGGTAAGCAAAATGAACTTAATGTTTTTAAAATTCAATATAACTCAAACATTTGTCATCTAATTTAAAGCCAAATGGTCCGAGTTATGCAATCCACATTCCACAATATTCTTACTGTATGTCTACAATTATCTTATTCATTTCTATTTTTGTATAATGAAATGAAACAGGCCTGAACTGTAACTACTCTTATGTAATAAAACTTCACTTTGGGATGATTAAAAAAAGAAAGGATTCGCCATTTTAGCACTTTTCCCTACAGGGAATGTGATCTCCACTGATTATTTCTAACATTTGGACTTGGTTCACTGTCCTTAGACAATTGAATCTTCTTATTTCTAGCCACATAATCATATTCTTATCATTTGATCATCTGTAATCTACAAACCAGTGAAAATAGGTAAAATAATCATTTAAAGCAGGGTTTCTAAACTGGCGAAAGCAGACTATAACTGATTGTGTAGTGTTGCATTGGAGAGGCAGAAAAATTTAATGAGAACACATCTAAACATTTAAAATTGGGAAGGTCAAATGCAATAATTTAAGAATGCGCCAATGGAAAACCTGAATATTCTGAATATTGGGGAAACGGGCGGCCCTCCATTGTGAAATGTAAATAAAAGCAATGACGCACTCGGTATCTAGGACAAGGTCAGCCAGTCACCTTTGTGTTTGCAGTGGGTGGGTTTGTGTCTGTGTGTGAAGGGAATGTTAAGGGAGGTGTGTCACTGTCCACCAATTCAGAGAGTTCTAGCTGTCTGCCTGTATTTCTGCATGAGCATTTATTAGCGAGACCTTGAAAATGATGTGTTTATTCCATAGCTCATCATCCCATTCTGTGAATATTCTTTGAAGCATCAAAAACTCTTTAAATTGCAGCAATAACTTCTTAAGCACAAGCCGTTATCATTTAATCATAATTGCCTGTATTGTTTACACATCCAGGACAAATATCCATTCATTACAAGTGTGTAAGTGAGTTTGGAATCAGAGTGCTGTGCTTATTCACTATGACGCAGAACCGTGATAGATGGATTTAGATGCACTGTAAAAAAAATCTGTAGAAATTACAGTATTACTGGCAGCTGCTTGCCAGTAACTTACTGTAGTTTTAAATTGATGTTATTTACTGGCAACAGTTTGTTCAAAGTTAAATGAACATTAAACATTAACAAGTCTTTATCTTTACAGAATAAAACTAAAATAACAGCCTCATGCAAAGCATTCTGGGAACCAAAATCTGAAGGAAAAAAAAAAACAGAAAATTGTTATTTTATAATGTTATTCTGTAAAGACAACGACTTGTTAATGTTTAATGTTCATTTAACTTTGAACAAACTGTTGCCAGTAAATATACATCAATTTAAATCTCTAGTAAGTTACTGGCAAACAGCTGCATAACTACAGCAATTTTTTTACAGTGTGTATTTTCATAATGTTTGCGAGTGTCTTCATGTCACCTGACTAAATCTTTGCTCTTAAATTGCGTGGGATAATTCAGTTTCAGTTCTGGCTGAAACATTTGATGACAGATCGCAATCAAAGTATAATCTAAATGATAATTCTAACCATTCATGCCTAACATGGATCATGTCATCATGGTTTGGGTCAGATGGAGGTCAGTAACATGTGATGGGAACTGTCATATGAATTTCATCTCATATTTTGCACTAAACTGATGGTAGTAAAATTAATTCACCGGTAATGAGTAGGCCTTGAGAAAGAAAAACCCATATAGAAGAAAAATATCTTTTTAAATATCTAAAAGTTTTTTCCTAGACATCAGTGAGATTAAATGGTGAAAAAATGAACATTATTTTTCAAAAGTCTGTTCAAACTTCAACATTTGTTGTTAATTCAAAGCCAAATGATCTGAGCTAAAGCATACAAATTCATTTTAGAGGTTTACCCTCTTACTGTATGTCAACAATTATCTTTTTTCAATTCATCAGGGAAAACATCAAAGGATGACAGATGCAATCAAACTATATGACGAAATTGACCACTATTGTGTTTATATTAAGACTATTCTAAAAAAAAAAATCAGTAAAAGCTCAAAGTGGTTTAATGAAACCACAATGGTGAATCTCAACTATTTCTCAACTATAGTGAGATACTAGTGAGATTACATGGGAATTTTGTCTCCTGAGAAAAAGGCCCTAATCTCGCATGCGTCTTCCAAATACATGAGATCAAAAGTCACAAATTTCAAACTGAACTCAAAATTTCAATTCAACATTAAACTCCCAATTTCATTATATAATTATTTCATTACATTACTTTTTATTCTCTCAATGTACCGGTAATTATATCTACAAATGTCTTATTTTTTAGGAGAAATATCCGAGACAGAATTAAGCATAATCGAGTAAGTAAGTAAGTAAGAAAACTTTATTAATCCCTGTAAGGGGAAACTCATTCGCCACCCTTGCACATTACAGACACCACAAACAAACAAAGACAGAAAACAACAACAATCAATACAAGAAATTACACAATTTCATTAAACAACCTAACTGCATTCGGAGTAAAAGACCTTCTAAATCGCTCTGTAGAACACCGAGGCATTATTAATCTTCCACTAAATGAGCTTTTAAGTCCACTAAAATTACAATGTAGTGGATGACCTTTGTTACGCATAATTATTTTTAATTTTGCCCTTGTTCTCTTTTCCACAGTGATCTCAAGTGAGTCAGGATTAAGGCCCATCACTGAGCCAGCCTTTCTAATCAATTTATTAATCCTATTTTTATCATCTACAGTGATACTACATCCCCAACAGAGCACTGCATAAAATAAAACACTAGCTACAATTCCCTGATAGAAAACATAAAGAAGCTTCCTACTTACACCAATAGAACTCAACTTCCTCAAAAAGAATAGTCTTGATTGCGCCTTCTTAAACACAGCCTCACTATTCTTCTTCCAGTTCAGTTTACTGTCCAAATGGACACCAAGATATTTATAAGACTGAACAATCTCTACTTCCTTACCGTTAATACTCACTGGTTCTATCACTTCTTTATTCCTTCTGAAATCAATGATCAACTCCTTAGTCTTCTCTACATTCAATTTTAGGAAATTTTCATCACACCATCCAACAAATAACTCAACCTCTCTTCTATAGTCCACATCGTTGCCTTGATTAATTAAACCCACAAGGGCAGTATCATCTGAAAACTTTTGTATACAACATGAATTAGTGTGCCTGTAGTCAGCTGTATACAAAGAAAAAAGAAATGGTGATAAAACTGTGCCTTGAGGGGCTCCTGTTTTGGTTAAAATAATGTCAGAGATTTTATCACCCAGCCTAACAAACTGGGGTCGACGTATAAGATAATTCAATACCCACATAATAGTTTTACTATGTAGGTTACAACGCAGCAATTTATCAGCTAAAACATGAGGTTGAATTGTGTTAAAAGCACTAGAAAAATCAAAAAACATAATCCTAACAGAGCTAGAAGTTGTTTCCAAATGATTATAAATATTATGCAACATAAAAAGTATGGCATCATCTACTCCAACACCTTTTCGATATGCAAACTGTAACGGATCATGAAAAACTGACAACTGTCTACCCAGATAACCAAGGATAATTCTCTCAAAACATTTCATTATTTGTGACGTCAAAGCAATGGGTCTCAAATTATTTAAACTACGACCCACATTACCCTGTTTTGGAATGGGAACAAGACACGATGTTTTCCACATATCTGGTATTTTCGATGCAGACAAGGACAAAGAAAAAATTGAGTGGAAAACTGAGCACAACTGGTCAGCACAGACTTTCAAAGTACGAGGGTGAATACCATCAGGGCCTGCTGCTTTTCTGGTCTTAAGACACTTAAACTGCTGACGAACATCATTTTCATTAATAACAATTGCTGGACTACAGTCCACATTATCACACTGTACAAGAGATTCTAAAATCATATCATGAGAGGCAGAGTAATCAACATTATCAAACCTTGCAAAAAACGTATTTACCTCATTTACATTCAGTCCTGACCAGCAAGCACTGTTACTTTTGGTTCCATAACTAGTAAGAGATTTCAAACCATTCCAAAGACCCCATGTGTTACAATTAGACATTTGTTCTTCAACACTTTCCTTATATTTAAACTTACTCTGTTTGATAACTCTCTTCAATTCTTTTTGCGCAATTTTGATCTGATCCCTATCACCATTAAAAAAAGCCGCTTTTTTCCTATTAATAGCTGCTTTAACCTCCCTAGTAACCCATGGTTTATTATTAGGAAACATTTTAATTCGTTTACGTGGAATGACAGACTCAACACAATAATTTATATAACAGGTGACTTTGTCAGAAATACTGTCCAAATCATCATCGTCCAAAAACACTGACCAGTCTGTACACTCAAAACATCCTTTTAACCTTTCACAGGCATCATCTGACCACACGCACACAGTCTTATAGCCAATAGGCTGATTTCGGATCGCAGGAGAGTATCTGGATGTCAGAGATATTAGATTATGATCAGATTGCCCCAGGGGTGGAAGACCCTTTGCACTATAACTCTCCTTAATATTTGTATAGAATAGGTCAATAATTTTACCATTCCTGGTAAAATTAGAACTCCATTAAGTCTCCCAAACTATAAACCTTTGAGCATAAAAAAATCCTCTGTTATGAGGGCAAATAAAACACTTATTTTGGTATTTCTGTTAGCTTTATTCAAACCTCACTTAATCCTTGTGTCCTCACATTCAGTATATACAGTATCTCTCATCTTAGAAATTCAAATCATAACAGAAGAACGCTTAGCATGATTTCATCATCATCATGTGTCTATGT